CACTTCAAAAGGGCTTTAGTTTGCCTTGAATGTTACAATGTCAGGTACTACCCAATCTCAGCAGGCTGGGTCACAGAGCCACAACTGCTGACACTCATAGCAACCTCCCTGAGAGCAGCTTCAGACCACTATAATGCATTTGAATACAGATTTATCAGGAATAAATCTAGAATTACACTAATAAAATAAATTCAGCAGTGCAAACGTGTTTTATAAGCATGGCAAAAAAGAAAAGAAAATTTTCACAGCACCAAGCATTATCCACATCATTTAGAAGTCAGTAAACCTTCTGTTATATGAGAGATTCCAAAAGACCGTGCTGATGTGGTAGAAATAAATTTTCTTTCAGCTTTTGAATGATATTTTGTGTCTCAAAATGCTGGTAATTTCATTTTTATTATGAAGTTCCTTGCTTATAATGTCGTTTGTAAGTAATAATAGCTAAAAGCAACATTGGCTGCAGTGTTTGCGTTTTAACAGTGGATGGCACCAATCACCTCAGAAATTACCTCCCTAAATGTTAGATTACCTTCTTAAGTGTGAACCTTGTAGCATAATTCAAATGTGAAAGCAAAATGCAAATGTGTAAACAACAAAAAGAGAGGAAAAAATATTGTCTTCAGAAAAGTACTTCAGGGGAAGCAACTTTCTTAAATATTACACTCCCTGTGAAAACCCTGTCCTGCACAGAATGTTTGTGTACAAATGCCTGTGTACACACGTTTGAATTTCTTTTTTTTACCACTGTCACAGACAAATATCTTATTTGGCTCAAATAGTGACTTTAAATTCAGATTGGAAAGTGTAGATAGCAATACCTGAACATAAGCTTTTACTAAGATTTTCCTATGGGCTAAGAACTGCAAACTGTCATTTGCTTTAAAAGTTCTAATAGGGATACAAATAGCTTTATAAAAATGATATTTCATATTTCTGTATTAAGCCTTTCCTGGTTTAACATACAAGTAGATTAAAACAAAATATGCACATTTAAATGTACAACAATAAAATATTTGTTCTCCCTTTGGAAGCTGTATTTAATGAACAGCTGCTAAAATCTAATTTCTCAGTGATGCTGAAGAGTTGGCCAAAACAAGCAGGACTCAAATAGTTCCAAGGGGAACTTGGAAGATACTAACCTGTGTCTGGGATGGAATGAAAGAAGACATCTACTCCTTTGTACAACAGTTGATCCGTACTGTCAGATCCAGACACGCAAAAGTCAACAGCAGTCCCAGAGATACTTTTTAAAACCTAATTTTACCCTTCACGTCTATTTAACAGCTTGGGGGTGGTGGAGTGGCGGGGAGAGCTAAGGAAAAGTGTGTCCTCTATATTTTCCAAGCTATCAGAGCTAAAGATTTGGGGATCGGCGCTACACTTCTGTCCCCTGCCATCAGAAGGGATAAAGCTTGCACTTCTTTTTAAGTGAACTCCAAGCAGGCAGTACCTACTGGCTGGTGCCAAAAGTGTGTTTCACCAAGGTCTCCCCGCCAGGCGGGGCAGGGAGCGGCCCTTCCGCGGGGCTGCGCCGGGCGATAAGGGGGAGCACTCGCAGTCTCCCGGGACACACGGACAGCGATGGGAGGAGCCGAGGGGCGGGGAAGGACCGGGAGCGGGGATAGGGAGCCCGGGAGCCGGGATAGGGAGCTCAGGAATCTGGATAGGGAGCCCGGGAGCCGGGATAGGGAGCCCGGGAGCGGGGATAGGGAGCCCGGGAGCGGGGATAGGGAGCCCGGGAGCCGGGATAGGGAGCCCGGGAGCCGGGATAGGGAGCCCGGGAGCCGGGATAGGGAGCCCGGGAGCGGGGATAGGGAGCCCGGGAGGCTCTGCGCAGTGCGGGGCTCCTCAGCACCAGGGGCGGGAGCTGGCGCGGGATGCGCGGCCGGGGCTGGGCAGCTCCTGGAGCGGGGCCTGCGGCGGGTGGCAAAGCTGGTCAAGGGACTGGAGCGTCGCTCTTAGAGGAAAGGCTGAGGAAGCTGGGCCTGTTCAGCCCCGGGAAGAGACGACTGAGAGGGGACCTCATGAATGCGCATAAATATCTAAAGAGGGGGTGCTAAGAGGATGCACCAGGCTCTGCTCGGTGGTAAAACTGATGCATAGGAAGCTCCACCTGAATGTGAGGAAGAATTTCTTTCCTGTGCAGTGGCTGCGCCCTGGAACAGGCTGCCCAGGAAGGCTGTGCGGTGCGGAGCTGCCCAGGACGGCCGGGGCGCAATCCGATGCCCTGAGCTGGCCCTGCCCGGGCGGGTGCTCCGCTGCCCCGCCCTGCCCCGCCCCGCGGCCCTCAGGGGCGGCCGGCCCGGCCCCACGGCGGCGCGGAGGGGCGGGGCCGGGCCGGGGGCGGGGCCAGGCCGCCGGTTCCAGCCATGGCGGCGCGGCTGCGGGCGGGCGCTGCCCGGCGCCGTCGCGGGCCGATGACGCGCGCGGTCGGTGCGGCGTTTCCCGGTGTCGCTGTTCCTGCTGCGGCGGGGTTGCGCGCCCCGCGCTGATGGCGGCTCGCCGCACACCGCACGGCCCCGCGCCGGGGCCCGGGCTGGATGAGTTCACCGTCCCCGCCGAGAAGAGCTGCCTGCTGGAGCGCAGCCGGGGCCGCATCGAGGGCTTGTTCGAGGTGCGGCTGACCGTGCTGGGGGCGCAGGGGGACTGGCGGCCCGCGCTGCAGCCGCCCAACGCCAGTGCCAGGATCTGGGTGCAGCTGGCGGGCCGCACGAAGGCCGTGAGCAGAGCCAAGGTACAGCGGGGTCTGCGTGCGGAGGGGCCGCCGCACCGGTGCGGCCGGGGCCGCGGGGCGGAGGGAGAAAGGGCGGGGAAAAGCCGAGTGCCCCAGGAGGAAACAGAAACAGCGCTGCCTTGGCAGATGGGTGTGTGCCCGGTGCCAGGGAGTCTCCGTGTTGACATAAGCGCAGGGAATAAAGCGAAACAACTCCGCTGGGTAGTGCAGAGTTCACGGGCACCGCGTTGTGAAATTGTCCAGCCCGCGCTAAGGTGTAGCACCGGTGGGGATGGGCCGAGTTTTGTTTTAAAGCGAGATTTAAAAGTTTCGCTTTCCTTCTTCCTCCCAAATGAAGAAATTCCTCGGAGCTGTTCGGGCGTTGCCGTGTTTTGCCTTGCAGACTTCTGCTTATTCTGTGGCATTTTGTAGCTCGCTGGCGAAGCTCTTACTAAAGCTTAACGCAGCTAGTATTTCCTCCAGGTAAAAGTTGTCAGACCCGAACAGCCTCACCAGTCTGGGGCAGACAGTTCGCCTTTCAAGCCCGCTCTAACGCGTTAAGAGAACGGCCTGTGCGGGCTGTGTCTCAGAGGGGGCAGCAGTTGCTGTGAAGTGTCGTCACGAATGTTAAATGTCTTGCACAACTAACCTTTGGGGGGAGTTTCTCAGCAGTGATGCTGAAATTGATATTACTCATAATGAGCCTGGCAAGTACAGCTGCTTGAATCATGTGATGAGAACTTTGGTGTGAGCAGTAGCTAGGCTGAACCTTTCAAACCCAAAATCTCGCTATATGGACGTTGGTCGGTCTGGTTGTTTAACTACGCTTGGGTGTTCGCGGGGATCCGGAGCTTGTGTTTTGGGACTGATCTCAGACTTGGCAGCCTGCTTTCAAAAACTTTATTCCTTAACTATGTCATGCATGTGTTCCTCAACATGTAATGCACTTCCTTACAATGAGCTGTAAGAAAAATACTATGACTATATAGGGGTTTGAATTATTTGACTCTGACATTTACTCTAAACCAATTTGCTTGGACTCAGAGAATCTGGAAACTGTTACAGATAGCTATTTTTCTCCAGGTATCAGCAACTTCCCTTTTTTCTAGGAAATTAAAGCACAAGAAATAAATAGCACAAGATTTCCATTTTCTAATTGCTGCCTTTCCAAACAAGATAAAAAAATGTTTCCTACTCTCAATACTTTAAAGGGTATGAAAAACTTGATTTCTCTTATGGGTAGAGCAGTTTTCAGACACTGTCTGGAGGAATTACTGTACAGGAACTACAATTGCTTGTCTTCCATTGAAAGGTTTGGTGGTAGCAATTTATGTTACAATTTTTCAGTCATAGATAATGTATAGGTTCTCCATTGCTACTTAGTTAAAAACAGAAGTTCCTAAATTTAGAGGATCCTTTTCACCAATTCTGTTATCTTGTTGCTCTGCATAAGCAGTCATGTGATGAGTAAGGCGTGGAGAATAACCCTGTGGGTTTTGCTGCGGAAGCAGTTTGTGCTGATAATGCTCCTGAGGCAGCCTGCCTTGATACCCATGATGATGTAACTCGAGGTGATAGGAAATGATGTTATATTATTCATACCTTATGTTGGTTCTCAGCTCCATTTAAAAAAAAAAAACAATGTTTGAGAGTAAATATATGTAGTGTACTTGGCATTCTGCAGATACAATGATTGCAGCTTAGAAGCTGGTTTCACTTTAGTGAAGAATTTTAAGCACAGAAGGAGGTAGTTTGGGAAAAATAATGCTATCTGAAAGAATAAATAGTATACTATATTCACAGAGTTTTGAGCTCTTGATGCATTTAAAACAAGGTAGTATAGTGAATTAGCTTATAGGTGGCAGAAATAACATTGTGATTTTTTTTTTCCATTTTATTTGAAAATCTTGAACTTCAAGAACACAGAAGTACCTGGAGTCTGGAGTTTTCTCAGTTAGTAACAAAAATATAGGCTGGCTGCTGGCATGGTAAGCCTTAGGAAATGTACTTTGAAACTTTTCAGAAGTTCAGGTTCATGGACTAGGTAAAACTCTAGTGAAAGGCATTTGTTCATGAAGAGTTCTCTTTAACCAAAGAATAGGAATAGGAAAATAAGTCTCTTCTGACAGTCTTTTAAACTGTTTGATCTACAAATTAAGTTGCCTGTTACTATTGGGTATAAATGAGAGAATATAAAAGAGCCTTCTATGAGATCTATTTAAAAATCATTTTAGATATTGGTGTTTTATTTCTATTGTCCTGTTTACTTTCTGACATGACTTACGCTAAGTTGGCTTTATTTTCTAATGTTTCTGTCCATTACTGACCTAGCAAAAACCAACTGGATATATTAGGTTTTCACAACTATTCACTCTGCTCTCTTTCTCCTCTTAGGAGTACATCAAGGGGCTATGTGAACCTGAGCTAGAAGAAAAAGAATACTACCCAAAGGACATGCACTGTATCTTCGTTGGTGCACAGAGCCTGTTTCTCAACAGTCTTATTCAGGATACTTGTGCTGATGTAACTGTGCTGGAAATGGGATTTCTCAATATTAAGGGGGGTGCAGAAGCTGTTGTTATGGCTCAAAGTCATGTGCAGCAGTTTGTGAAGCTTTTTGAGAATAATGAAAGTTTATTAAATGACAATGAATCGGAGATTAAAAAGCAGTTCAGACAATTTGTGGAAGCACATGCAGATAAGTATACAATGGATTTACTGATTTTGCCTAGTGCACTAAAAAGGGAACTCCTGGCTCTCACCCAAACTGCTGTTTCTGAAGGGGTGACTGGTATCATAGATCTCACAGGTTCTGAAAGCCCACAGCAGCTTGGACAGAACAGCACCTCCGAAGTCATTGCTGCAAACAGAGATGGAAGTGCAGGTGGGGAGGAAGCAAGAAGCAATGCTGGCACACCTGTAACCGAGCTTACAAAGCAAATGGACACTGTGTTTTCTGATGATTCTGAAACAAGATTTCTTCCCATAAAGGACCCTCTGTTAGAGGCAGTGGCCTTTAAAGAGAGGCAGTCATGTAAAAGAAGGTCCTCTGATGAGGAGGAAAGGCTTCCTAAAAAGCATTTCTCTTTGGAAGATGATCCACAAGTGAAATCTGCTTTACACAAGAATCCTTCGGACCCTGATGCAGTTATTGATCTGGTTTTGGATAGCTGCACAGAATCAGATGGTCCTACTTACTGCCTTAAAGAAGGTGATGCTCTCACTGAGGAAGTAGAATACAAGATTCTTGTGAACTTTTTCAGAACAATGGGATATTCCCAAAATATTGTTGAAAAAGTTATTGGTATCCTAGGACAATCTGTGGAACCATTAATATTGCTAGAAGAAATTGAAAAGGAAAGTTTGAAATTTAAAAAAGAACATGAGCAGTCATCTCAAAAGCCTAGAACTGTCAATCTTCCTTTAGAAAATAATGTAAATAATTCACAAAAGCTAGAAGACAAAGGCATTTCTAGGAATAAAAGTCCACTTAAATCCAGTCATACTTCAAAGGAGACAAAAAATGAATGTCACCACATAAGTGGTGCTCCAGACACACAAGTTGGTGCAGAAGATAAAATGCATAGATTGGTATGTGAATCTTCTTCCCCTCCCAGCAAAAATTCAGTTCTCTGCCATAAACAGAGAGATGTTTATGGCCCTGGTAAGAATCATAACTCAAAGTCAAGCAATATAGAAACTGATGGTGGGGTAACTTCCAGGACTGTGCATGCTGGAGCTCTAAAAGATGTTGGCTTTGTAGCCAGAGGGAGCTCAGATGTGCAGCATATCTCAAGTAAGAGTAAAACTACATTTCAGCAAAAATCTTCAGGGCCCTCAACTGTACAGAACAGCCACCCTGGTTCTGAGGAGCAGCTGGGACACTACAGCTCTTCTCAAGCAAGGCCTCTCCACCAGCGCCTTTCCCAATCATCACATTGTGACAATCCTGTCCCAGACCAGTTACTGTCTTCACAAAAACACACTTCAAAGCCGGACAGAGACACACTGGGACCACATCCAGATAATTCAGTTACTGGAGTTCAAAGATTTTTGGACTCTCTGAAGGAGCCATACAAATTGGAGTTGATAAATGAACCTGGAAAACCATATTTAAAACATATAATTATTGATGGGAGCAATGTTGCAATTTCGTAAGTATGGTTCTTTTCAGCTATCCCTTTATTTACAGTTCAATGAACTTTCAGATTAAATGGGGGCTAAGAGGTTGCAGTGGCAAGTGTTAAGGTTTTGCTAGCTAGGTTTTTGGTGTGCCTGTACACAGTTGTGCTATTTCAGAGTAACCTGATTTGAATCACCAGTGTTCAGCTCAATGTAACACTTCAGTCAGAAGTAATCTCAGGGCAAGCTTTGCTCTGTTGCAATCAGCATTATGCATGAAGTGTAATTTGCTTTGCCAGTGCCTAACAACGAGGTTAAATTATTGTCAGTTTAAGTGGTTTGGATTTGAGGAAATTTTTTGTGCTCTTAATATCTTGTAGTTAATGAAGGTTCTCATTTATTAGTGATATATTTCATCTCCATCAGCATTGCCTTCCTTGGATCCTGTTATTATTTGCAAATGTATATATGTATATTTGCCAACTATGAATGTGCATTACTGAGGTTCCAATATTTCCTTCATGCACCCCAGTGGATTGGCTACATAACCCCACACTGGAGTAGGGCATAGTAGCTGGGTGTTATTGATATACAGGCTCCAGAAAGGTTATATAACACCTGGTGCCTCCTACCCAACCAAATGAAAACTGGTTATGAAACATAAAGGACAGAGCTGCCTCAAAATAGCAGAACCATAGATATTCAAATGACCTACTAAATAATCAATACCTGGGGGCCTGTTGGTTCAATCTTGTAGGTATTCTGCAGCTTCCCTCTGGCTAAATAAAGCCTCGTTTGTTTCTTGCATTTCATAAAGTGAAGAGTTTTTTGCAAAATTGCTTTGAATTGTTTTCAGTTTTACTTCTCAATACCTTGAGAACTGCTTCCATGCCTATACTGATTCAGGGTTCTTTTGGCCCCCTTTTTTGATGGGGGTGTGGGTATTAATTCATCACCTACATGCTTAGACTAATGCTCTATGGGCTCCTGAATCATTGCTTGCCTCATGTCATAAGTCTAGAAAACTGCAAAAGCTATAGAATATTTTCTTTTGACATGTGCAGCACGTTGATCTGTTGACTGTGTTGTTATCACATTGTCCCAGGGTGCTTGTGGAATGAGAGAATGCCCAGAGTTTACCCTAGCAGCTAACAAGTTTTTTTTTAATTACCTGGTTTTGTATGCTGGAAACATACATTGAGGGTAGACTGCAGTATCCAGTTGTCGGATAATTTAAATTTTATTAAAATATGGAAGAAACTCAGAATGAGAGAATAATTGAATGGAATTACATCTTCCTATAATAGTTTGTAAATAATATGTACTTGTGGTAGTGCATCCAATCAGAAGCATCAGGTGCCCAAACAAGGTGGGAAACAAAGGGTAAGTAATTATCCTTTGAAGCCTTGGTAAACTATTTACCTGAATCACAGCCCGCATGGAGAGGCACCATGGCTCCTGTGCTTTGGGGAAGAAAGGCCAGGAGTCACCGAGTTGAGTTGTGGCCAGGGAGACATTTACTGCTGGCCAAAGTCAGTCATCTTATGGCCCTGTAGCCAGTGCTCCCGAGCGAGGCCCCTTGAGCTCTCCTGGGGCTGACAGATCCTCAGAGGACTGAACCTGGCAGCAAAGCTCCCACACACCCCTCCACACTTCCTGAGGTGCGACCCTTGCATGTTGGGAAATGAAAAGGGACTTGGTGTGAACATCTCACTGACACTGAGAGGAATTTGTTGACGAGTTCCTTTAAGCACAGGGAATTAGGTGGGCACATTGTGTACCTGTGTGTGTGTGAATTGACTGTGGTATGAATGTTACTGCCTCAAATCTACAGTTAAGTCGTTGTTATAACTATAGCAAGCCCTGTGGAATTGCTTTGTAAATGTCAAAGTACTCAGTGATTCAGTGGTGCTAAACCCTTTTGCACCCTTACCTTTGCATCCATATGCTTTGCACCCTCGTCCCCTTCTGCATTCCTGGCTTCTGTGTAAATCAGTGCAATCTGATTCTAATTTGATCTTTGTATGCCTTAACCTGTGCAGAAAATAATGAACTTACTCTTCACAAGTTCACAATAGTGAATGTTGCCTCCAAACTCTGTGAAGCCATATTTTCACAAATTCATACCAAACCCTGCCTTTGGCAATACCTTTGACAGTGTTTCTTTAAGCAGCCAATCCACTCATTTGCTGCAGTATTTACTTTAGTTACAAACCCAAGGGAAAATATTACATGTCCCAGAAGGCAACCTGCTCTTTGCTGATTTGTGCTGCTTGTGATCATATTTTGTTTAATTTAGGAAATACCTTTGTAGGGTCTTCACAGGATATTAAAGAACTGGGACAGGCAAAAGCAGTATTTGCAATGGCATTTGCAGAAATTTGCAGAACAGATACAATCTTTGCAATGGATACCTGGAAAAGACCATCTTGCTTTGGTGATTTGTTGTCCCTTCAGGTGTTTCTCTAACTCATTTAAAGCATTTCTTATTTAATTTAGTTTAGTAATGACATATTTTTTCATATTATTACTTACATTAATTCTACATGTTATTTGATAAAGTTGCTTCTATTTGCATGCTTTTTTAAGTTGTATCAGAGCAGGATTTTGTGATCATCTGGGACAAATTGGGAGCTGTTTTTCTAAGCTTCAGAACACTTAAAAAACAGTACACTGTAGTTCAGCCAGCTTGGAGTTCTAAAACAGGAGGATGAACAAGAAGACAAAGCATCAATTTTGACATGATATAGAGACTTCTGCATTTCTTGAAGTCCAGTTGAGAACCATTAATTCATTGAAAATATTTAACAGAATTTTCCCATTTAATGAATAGGATGCCTAACTTAAATTAATGGGATAATGACTGCATTTAAAGTTTATGCCCCAGAAGGTTTACAAAGAGTAACTTTTCTATTAAAATTGTCTTTCATTTTTTGGCTGTTCTTGGCACCAAGAATGCTTAATTTTATTAAGGACAATGCGGCAGAGTATTTTTTTTCCTCTGGAAATTCTGTTAGTAAGTCAGATTTTTTTTGCCTTTTATATTTCAGATATGGTTTATTCTTTTTTTTTTTTTCTTTTCTACATAAAGAATTCCTCTTGAATTTCAGAGAACCTTAATAGATGTACATTTATATAAACATATTTTTTACAGAATTTACAAAACTGGAAAAGTATAAATGAATGCTACTTGGGCTGAGTTTCACTGTAAAATATTTCCATAAAAATCTTTCAAACACCATTATGTTGGGAAGATTTCTTGGTAGGTTAAACTAGGGTTTAAAGATAGGATTCTGTTCAAAAGTAATAGGGCTTATATTAGGGTTAATTATAAGCACTTGCCTATTATTTGGGAGACTGGTTTAAAAAAGGAATACCACTTGCTCACTTACTGTTAAAAGTACTTGTAGTGATTTGACATCTAATTCAAAACACAGATTATACACTATTTTGCAAGAAATGCTTTGGCTGTTCATACCATCAGTGCTCAATCAGTGTGTCTTTTCTAGGGAATCATATCTTTGTTTTGTCTAAGTGTAGCCTCTATGGAAAGGCTGGAGTCTGGTTAGACAGTTAATTGTGCCATGTTAAACAGGCAAATAGGGTCATTGGGATAATTCCAGTTAGGAAGGGCCTCACAAGGTCATGAGTTCAAGTCTTTGTGTCTCCTCATTTTAGGCAGTTGCTGGTTTTTCTGGAAAGTCACGTAAGGGAGTTGTAAAAACAGATCATGAATATCTTAAATTTTTAAATGGAGAAAAAATATTGTCAAAATACAATGTTTTGAAAATATTTCTTTAAAGAAATTTCATTCTTTTGCTTCAAAACACTTGTTCAGACTGTTGAAATGAAGGGAGAGGAGGCCCTAAAAGTATCAGGGAGCTGTTCAGATGTAATCCTTGGTAATCAGTTGAACCAAAGGTGTTGTTTTGTAGTAGGACTGTATTTGGAGCTACTACAATATTGGATTATTATTGTTTTAATCTATATTCAATTGAGTTCAGAAACCATCACTATGGGCCTGGGCCTCTTTTTTAAAGCTAAACCTGCTTCTGATTACTCCATTGTTGTTGTGCCCAGGATACCGAAAGGAGGCTGAGCTATAAAAATGCAAAATTATACATCTGTTATCTTCTGCTGAAGAGCTCTTCTATTTAGAAGATTCCTTATCTTTTACACCCATCTGCCTTTTCTTTTCCTGAGGCTTTATGTGGGACTTTCAGCTTCACTTGGCAAGGTTTTGTTCCATTTTCTTTGTTTTCCTGGTAGTAAAACCCTAGTGAAATTAATCTCCCTTCTTTTTGTTTCACCCTCAGTCATGGTCTAAGGAAATTCTTTTCCTGTCGAGGAATTGCAATAGCTGTTGACTACTTTTGGAAACGTGGCCACAGAAATATTACTGTGTTTGTTCCACAGTGGAGAACAAGACGTGACCCTTCCATTACAGGTGAGGGATATTTCTGAATATTTCCTTAATTAAACCAGACTGTAACTTTTTCTTTGGGTACTTCTGTGAAGACTAAATGGAGAAGGAATGTTTCATCAAATGCTGAGCAGGAGCCGTCTGGCTGCTCAGCATGACTAATTGGGTTTCCATACACAGTATGAGAGACCCTGAAATGCTCTTTAGGCTAACAGGTGTGCCATCAGTGGAGGCCTGTTTGGGTTGGTTTTTGTTTGCTCTTTAATTTCTAGTTTTGACCTCCCCTTCCCCATTTGTATTGTATGAGCAATATTTCAGCTGTCAATGTAATTTCTATAGCTTAATTGGTACAAAAATAGCCCATCTTCTCTCTGCTGATTTTATCTTGGACTAACTGTCAAATCACGTTTTAACAGAGCAGAATTTCTTAACGCAGCTGGAGGATGTTGGAATATTGTCTTTAACCCCTGCAAGGATGGTTTTAGGAGCAAGAATTGCTGCTCATGATGACAGGTACAGAATATATGTAGTTTTAAAGCTGTTTCAAACATCTGACTAATGGTTGTAAAAGCTCGATTTTTCACAAGCAGTTCTGTTAGCTAATTCTGCAACCTTTCTAGACAGAGTTATGCATCCAACTTAAGACTGAGTTTTGCATCTGTTACATTATTTCACTGTTGTAGGAAACACTACTGTGTGTTAAGAAAGTCACCAAGAACTACAAATTTTCATGGCAATTAAAAAAAAAAAGGCTGTCTGAAGAAATTAATCCTCCAGTAATGTTTTTATTACTTTCTGGTCATCAGTCTATCCCTGAATTGTCTTTTATTCTTGGGGCATAAATCAGCTGTTGAGATACTATTTAGCTCCATTTTCTTCTTGGTGCCATGTTGCCACACAGACCTTGCTGTGTGTTTGGAGCAGTGTATTTGTAACAATGCATAAGCCAGCCATAAGTGAACTTATAAATTAATTTGATCACCAAAGATCAACTATAAAATGTGGGGATCATCTGGCAGTGAACAAGACACAGTAAGCTTTGGGAGTCTGCGGGAGTTTCCTAGTACTTCATTAATGTTTTATATATACCCAGCCTTTCATAAGAAATGCTCTGGCAGTGCAGTTGAGATTACTATGGAAATAAGTGTTATAATAACATACTTGCACTTTTGTTAAAAGAATGCACTTTCATTAAAAGGACACCATCCATTATCTTGTGGCTGAAGTTGTTTCAAATGGCAAAAAATGTATTTTCCGAGACATTATAAAAGAAACCAAATATTTTTTTCTTAATAAATCAGTAGTTGCTTTGTCATAGTTTAACAGAAAGGTTTTTAAGAAGTGTTGACAGAGCAAATAACTAACATGCAGAACACAGACATTAATGCTAAGCAAAATAGTGTATGGAAATGAGTTTGCTTTGGATTGTATAATAAACACTGTACTGCATAAAACATGCCATTTACCTGTGCAAATATTTAGATTATGGGATTTGGGGGCTTTTGCTTCTGTGGGTTTGTTTGTTTGGGTTTTTTAATGGAGAAGAAAACATCCCATGCGGACTCTGCTGCACTAAATAAGTGCATGCTGCGGAAAACATTGTTGTAAGTTTAAGGTGGGTAAAAATAGAGTAATTTCCTGGCAATCAAGGTGCTTGTTTTCATGCAAATAGATTACTTTGGGATGATGAAATGTTTAGTTTTCTACATCTTTGGATTGTTTTCAGCAAAACAAACTATCTTGGTGATCTTTGGAATTAATTTTACAGATTTTTGTTACACCTTGCTGCTAGAACTGGAGGTGTTATTGTGACTAATGATAACTTGAGAGAATTTGTGACAGAATCATTTGCCTGGAGAGAAATTATTCAAAAAAGGTAATAATTTGATTTCTGTGAAGTCTTAAAAGGATGTCTGTCCTTGCAGTTGTAGGCACTCTTACCTACATGTGGGATTTTGCTATCTTTTATTAATCTGTCATGCAATTCTGGTAGATCTAAATAAAGTACTCTGTGACTCACTGTGGTGATTCATGGCCTTACAGTCATGTGTTGGGTAGTCTAATGTCCATCTTATTCATATATTCTGTTATGTATGTATGTTCATTGCTCTCATAAGCAGGAGCTTGGTGTAACAGCACATGTGTCACTTCTGAAGGTCAGTGTTGGATCTTGTTTGAGCAGTCCACTTTCACAGCCTCTCTTGTCTGAAAGCTCATTTTTTTCAGGGAGACATGATAGCTGATGAAGATGTAGTGTCACTTTTAATTATTCAGAATCAATCACTCTACTCAAGTGGGACAAATTGTCACAGCTAAACAAAATGAGCACTTGCAGCATATCCATATAGCCATTTCCCTGCAATTGTTGTTCTTTGGGTTTAGATGAGTTCACTTAGTTATCAAATATCCCTGCTTCATCTTGTGGACTTTTGTTTCTACTTGTTTCTTCTTGTTTGTTGAGTTTGTGTGTTTGGGATATTTTTTTTCCAGTTTCAGTTAAATCAGGTTATTTTACTGCTGAGGTGTGATCTTCTATTAGTAAAATTTCCCACTAATCCCTCAGTGTCCCTGACATTTTCTGAGGTTACGTCTGTTACAGTGGCTGGGGTCAGTATAGCTCTAATGAAATAAGGAACTAAAAACTTGCCCTGGATTCACACAATATAGCTGTGAGACCATGGAGTTGATGCTGGCTGATCACGTAGACATTTACATAATTTCTTGAGTGAATTCTACCCAAGTCAGGTTCTGTCCTCCCACAGAACTTTAGCAAGAATACTTGGTGTGGCATCTTGAGTCTGTGGTTTTTTAAGAGCTTGTGTTAACATCTGCTATTAGTTTTACTTCTGGGGAAATTCCACTGTACCAGATCTCCTCCTTGCAGACAAATTTCAGTTGAACTGGGTTGGTGGTTTTTTTGTAATGCAGATCTCTTCCTGTCCCAAAGTGATTCCAGAAAAAAAGTTTTATGTCTTAACCATAAACATTTAATACTATATTTGTTAGTTGTGTGGCTTTCTGCTAACACAGGTATTTCAGCTCCAGACTGAAGATCTTTGTAAGGAAAAGAGTTAGAACAACCAAAAAATCTCTAATCACCTGGAAAATTCGACCCTGGTCTTGTTGCAATTTTTCTGTCATAAAAGTTGCTGTAAAAAAAAAAAAAAGAAAAGGGAAAGCTGTGTTTTGCAGTGTAATAGGGACAGTTCACAGCTCCCATGGAATTAGACAGGGAATACTGGTTGTGTCTTAGTTGGGTTTACTAATTAGTCTTCAGGGACTCCTCATGTGGTGTCTACCCTAAGGAGATTCATCCTGTGCTACAAAGGTGAAGGACAGCAAAGGTGAAATACCTTGTTATTTAAAAGAACTGTCTTGCAGGTTGCTCCAGTACACTTTTGTTGGTGACATATTTATGGTTCCTGATGATCCTCTGGGAAGAAATGGACCCAGATTAGATGACTTCCTTCGAAGTGAAGGCTGTTCTAGGTATAAACACTGTTTTCACTTTTGTTTGACACAGTTATTTCACATTTGAAATAAACTGTTCTCCTGCTTCACTTGCACACCTGTAAAGCACAGTAAAGTTAAGCAGGAACACTGTAGCACGTAGCAGTTTAACAAAAAAAACCCAACAAAACAACGTTTTTCCTGTTACTTCAGTTGGTTCAGAAACTGCTGGTGACATTTCCCGCTAACTGAGATCTGAGAACTGAGGTATGACAAAAGCTGCTTCTGAGATTTGACTGTGGTGGCTTTCATGCATGGGTGTGTTAACAGCACCCAGAGGTGCCAGAGATGTGAGTATATGTGTTGTTAATTACACTGATGTTATCTAAGGCACCTTGGTTGGTCACTTCATGGTGGGACAATAGGTGCTACAAACACTCTGCACTTGGGTTTTTTTTGTCAAGGGGAGACACTTCACCTCATGGTTGAGAGTACTTTACTGTTGTCAAAACAATTTTTGAGGCATTGTTATTAAATCTGTTTGTATTTGAGTAATAATTATAAATATTAATTAACATATGTTGTTCGTTTAAAATTAATGTACTTTTTAAATGTGCACATATTCAAAGTATGAATTTGCTTTGCATGAACTGCCAAGATTTGAGGATTAGTTTGCTCTTTTGCACAAGATGATAATACGCTGTTCTTTCACCAGTTTAGGAATTGGAAATGATAATAATTCTGAGGAGTGTTGAGAGGGCTTTTAAAAACAAGTGAGGTAACTTTAAAATTCTCAATAGAAAAGGCAAGCTATTCTTAAGGATTAATAGAAAGAATAAGCAAGAATCTCATCTACTGTAAACATTTGAGTATAGTAGAACATTTTTATACTATAGATTACAAGCTGATTTGAAAATAAGTATGTTGACATTTAAAAAGCAAGTGTAATGCTAGAACTCCACAAGAAAATGCAGCGTATTCAAGCTCTTGTACAAAACCTCTGAGATGTTTTTTTGAAGCACTGTGTTTTACTTGCCTGTGTCTGAGAAATAAAACGAAAACAGTCTTCTGAGGTAGGTGAGTGTGATGGTTGTAGAAATGTAAAGAGTCTTTTGAGAAGACCACAGAAGAGCTTGGTTTCTTATCTGTGAACTTGGAACTGGAACTAGGCTTTGGTGTTTGTTTTGGGGTTGGGCTGGGGAAGGGTGGTGGACCAGGAAGAACAGAGAAAAGCTGCCAGTGCAAAGAGTTAATTTTGTTCCTTCCCTGTGATTTTCTACATGATTTAAATGATGCAGAAAATACAAATGGCACCAGGAACAAGATCAGAAACTGGCAGGACCTTCAGCAGTTAGAAAACCTTTCCACACTGAGTAACTCGAGGTATCATAACCCAAATGCTTTTAAAATAGAGCTCTGTAATTTAGGTACTGTTTCCCTTGGTGGTAGGAAACTAGACTCTAACATGAGTTCCAGTTCACATTTCTCTGGTATCTGCTGGCGTCTGAAGTAGGCTGACCTTTATATTTTGTAGTGCTTGCACTAGAGTAGCAAAACTTTAAAGTGTGAAATGAAATTGCAATAATTGAGAGTATTCAAATCCTGAGGTTGCTAAAACAACTTCATTGGCCAGTTAAGGATACCATACAAAGGAAAATGATCTAAAAATGAGCACAGCTCAGTCCAGAGTAAAAGTACATGAGGAATAGTCTGTTGTGAAGCAGTCTTGGAAGCCCCTTTGGTCTGTCAGGATTTTCACATGCCCCACATCAGTATACGTGTTCAATGTATCTATACCTTCATAAAATTTGCTGTAATCTGCCAAGTAAAGGACTCACAGCATATTGAGGCTATTCCTGGGTGATATTAATGTTAGTTATGCCAAATTCATATCAAGAGCTGTTACACCTCCTGTTTTGTTTCACTTTGAAAGAATGCTTGTCATTTGATTCCAGTCAGTAACTGCAATGAGCAGTAGGGAAGTTTTAGTTATACACATTTGTCTTTTCTTTCTCATATACAGAGAGGGCTACAGTTAGCATGTCCTTTAGCTTAATTAATTTAAAAAATTATTTTGTTCCATAGAGATTCCTGGTCAACACACAAGGCTTTGCAGAGCAGTGGACAATATTCTTCTGAGACACCTTTTTTCCTCCCCGAAATGAGCAGTGGCGGTCGACAGCCTGGAGGAAGAGTGCAGGATGATTGTTCACCCCCGTGGCTTCCACAGGAAGAAAACGCAGAGCCTTGTCCAGCAATTCCATTACAGAGATCTCCCTCAGAAACAGCCCAGCTAAGAGAAGCCCTGATCAAAATTTTTCCTGACTATGATCAAAGGCAGAAGATTGATCAAATACTATTTAATCATCCATTTATGAGAGATCTTAATGCACTGTCCGCCATGGTGCTTGACTGAATGCTTACACAGCTTTTATATCACAACTGCTCTGACTAACAATTATCAATGTGAAGAAAAATGTCGCTCTTTTATGTTACATTGTGAATATTAAAAACATAATTTTATTTGTATAAACAAAGATTATTTTTCTCTATGTTCTGCTGCTAATAGATGCCAGGTTTTGGTAAATTAAAAACTGCTTCTACTACAGCTTTTTAGTCATATTTTCTATGAAAAAAAAAACAAACCAAAAAACAGTCTTCTGCTTCACTTTTGAGCAGTGCATTAGTACTTTCTACAAAACCCTTTTCCTGGAAGGCAGAATTCCCGTCAGTTGGAGACCCGCGTGTGGGAGCAGCTGCCAGCAGGTGGCGGCCGCGGGCCCGTGAGGATCCCCGGGAAGGGCCTGAAAATCCAAGAAAATCCCATTTGCTCTTTCAGGGTGGAAGTGCTGTGTGGGGTGGTTAGAAGAGAAAGTATAAATTCACAGCTCTCAGGAAGAAGGTGTTTTGAATTCTTTCAAAGATTTTGAAACCTTACAATGGTTTTTAAATCGGGCATTATCTTGACTATCAGGATTCTCTCCGAATAATTTTAATATCTTTAACAATTGCACTGATGGCTTGTGTGTTCTAAGTGTGAATGCTGTGATGTTAACAGAATGCGACACTGTCTGTACAGAAATGGCTTTTTTGTGCAGAGCTACAGCTGTAGTCAGCTCCACCCCTTTAGATACCATCACTGTTCTGGGATCTATCCCAAAAATAAGGGGGGAAAAGGAAGGTAATTTGTGAAAACTGTCCAATAGGACTGCTTTCTAAAGCAGAGCAAAATTAAGATTGGCTGTATTTCTGTACACACTTAAGTCTCTTACTCCTTCCTTTTAACCAGTCTCTGGTGCCAAATGTTCATATGAGTAAATTCAAATGAGACTGTAAAGAAAACATGGGCTCCAGAGCCTACATTCAACTTCTGATGTACTGAGCCTTACCCTAAAGCATTATGGCGTTCTCTCTAGTTCCATGTGGTCTGAAATCACTCTTTGTTTATATGCAAAAGAGCTGAAATATACTTGAGGAACTGGGGGTTTTGAAAGACTTTTTTGCATTGCCCTTTCATATTTTGTGAAGTCAGAAACAGAAGGCAGTCTTGCTCTTCCCTGAACACAAGCAACCTGAAAGAGAATTGCAGCAAGAACAAAAGTTTTAGGAACAGTAGTTACAGCTTCTCAAAATACAGATGATGATGAAGAGAGGCCTTTAATGTTTCTACATCCAAACAAACAAATCTAAATTATTCTTTATTCTGCATAGGTGAGAGGGAGATTGCTAATCATGTGAGCGTGTGGTCCTTCTGACCAGCACGTTTGCCAAGAACTAGTTCTTACTGGTGAAGTGCTGTGTAATCTTCAAGTTCTAACCCTATAAAAACTTAAACAGATTATTAAAGCCTCTTTCATTGCTATATACAGTTGGTATAATTTTAATAAATAGTAAGAGACTAAATCACCAGCTCCCTCACACTCCCTGGGGGCCTGTGTACATGTGTGAACGTGCCCCTTGAAAAACTTGTCTTCTTTTCATTAGGTATATCCCTGATTGCATATGTTGTTTTGTGTGCTAGTGTGGGGATATAAATATATATAAATATATTGTAATCTTTATTTCATAGAGAATTGCTTCATGGATTTGGAAGGGAACCACAAGGATCATGCAGTCCAAGTCCTGGCCTCCCACACTTCAACAATCCCACCCCATGCCTGAGAGCATTGTCCAAACATTTCTTGAGTTCTGTCAGGCTTGAGGCTGTGCCTATTTCCCTGGGGAGGCTGTTCAGTGCCCCACCACCCTCTGGGTGAAGAGGTTTTTCCTGATCTAACCTAAATCCCCCCCACTCAGCTTCAAGCCTCAAGTCCTGTCACAAGAGCAAAGAGATTGGTACTCATTCTCTCTTTCTCCAAAGTCTGTTTCTGAAGCATGTCTTGTGCTATTCAACCTTTGGTTGCTGCAAAAACACAACTAGAAGCAGTGTTTGGAATGGAAAATACCAGGGACTTTCCCTTACGTGTGAGTGGCCTGGCATTTCCCTCTCCCTCCCTTTAAAGGGGTAAAGTCCTGAGACTGATTCCTGGTGTGAGACCAAGTGAAGAATTTATATGACAAATCCCAAAGTTTACTGTTAAAAGGAGTGTTTTCTCTTGCATCTTAAGAGCATGTAATGTAAACAATCTCATTGCGGTTGTCAACAAGCAAAGTTCAGATGAGTCCCAGTAGTCGGTGCTAGTGCTGCTGTTTTTCTTCCTGTGGTAGTGCCTTATTGGGGTAGCTCATATTTTGGATGAGCATTTCTGAACCAGAGAGAGTGCCTGTGAAAGTTCCATGACAAACAGTGACTCAGTGTCTTTCTAATACTGGCAGTGTTTCCTTCTGTTTTGCAAGCCTGCAGGCTGTGTTTGATTATGAATGCCTTTCCTGCTAGAATTTTGTGTAGCTGCATTAAATGCTATTTTTAGATTTGGGGCTGGTTTATGTTCTAAATGGCTCTGTTTTATTGGAAAGGAGTAGCTCTGCTATAATTCATGTATAAGACCTGTTATTTTCACAAATACAGTTTAGAATAATGATGACTTTGCAGATTTCAAGACCTAATCTGCTGTCTGGTATTTGGAGGAGTCTGGTTATATAAGCAGGTGTTTCTCTGATGTGTTCAGTTTCTCTTTTTCATCACAGAATGGAAACCCAAGTGCCTTACAACAGTGTAACTTATGGTGCTCAGACTATTCCTAGCCTTCCTGACTGCTACTGTTTGTGTTCAACTTTATGCATAAATCTACCAGTTTTGTATATATTGGTATGTAACTCTGTGCATACAGTGGAAATACTGCAGTGCTCAAGTAGGTGGTGTAGACAATGACTTTTAAAAAACAGATGGATTTTAGATTTGTACTTTTTTTACCTGTGTATTGTATACATTTATTTTTAGAATGTGGTTCCATTGTACTGTTCAAACTCTGCTGAGCTGCATATGACAATCCCAAGTTTTTGCCGTCTGCCTTGTGGCTCACTAAGTCCTGTCAGATTGCATTCTATAATTTTAAATGGCTAATTCAAAGGAAGCACTTTTTAAGAACATACTGGGTTTAAATGCACTGGGTCCCCTTTTCAGTCTCCACTCGAATATTTTTAACTGTTTTAGGAATGATGTCTTAAGTGTACCTAAGATAAAATATTACATACTTTTAAGTAAACAGAAACAACAGTCCAAAGATATCAGAATTCTGAAATATATCAATTGAGTTTTATTTAATTATCATTTTTCACTAACCATAGGAATAATTGAGATTGAAATTCAAGGTCATGTATAATTTTTCTCCCTCGTTGTGATATTGAATCTTAGTATTGATAATTTTAAGATAAATCTTTGCTGAGCAAAATATTAAGAGTCGATTCATCAAAAATAAAAGGCTGGCTTGCATGTGGTTTATACAGACACATGCACACTCTCCCTTCTCGGTACGAAGGTAATCCAGAGCGGGCGCTCCAGCAGTTCGGTGCCGGGCCGGGCGCTGTGCACAGCAGCATTTCGGTGTGCAGAGCAGCATTTCGCTGTGCAGAGCAGCAGTTCGCTGTGCAGAGCAGCAGTTCGGTGTGCAGAGCAGCAGTTCGGTGTGCAGAGCAGCATTTCAGTGTGCACAGCAGCAGTTCGCTGTGCAGAGCAGCATTTCGGTGTGCACAGCAGCAGCATTTCAGTGTGCACAGCAGCAGCAGTTCGGTGTGCAGAGCAGCATTTCGGTGTGCACAGCAGCAGTTCGCTGTGCACAGCAGCATTTCAGTGTGCACAGCAGCAGTTCGGTGTGCACAGCAGCATTTCGTTGTGCAGAGCAGCAGTTCGGTGTGCACAGCCGCAGCTCTCTGTGCAGAGCCGCCGTTCTCTGTGCACAGCAGCAGCTCTGTGTGCAGAGCCGCAGCTCTCTGTGCAGAGCCGCCGTTCTCTGTGCAGAGCCGCCGTTCTCTGTGCACAGCAGCAGCTCGGTGTGCAGAGCCGCAGCTCTCTGTGCAGAGCCGCCGTTCTCTGTGCAGAGCGCAGTCCGGTCCCCGCTCCGGCAGCGCGGTGCCGGCCGGCGCTGTCCGCCGGGCGGGCCCGGCGCGGCCCCGCGGGGACAGGAGGTGGCGCCGCCGGCCCGCGCCTGCCCGGGGCCCGGCCTGAGGGCGGGTTTGGCATCCCGCGGTTCCCTTGTGTCCCGGCTGCTGCGGGTAGGCTCCGTTTGCCTCTCGGCTCAGGGACCGTGCTCTGGTTTGCTGATAGTTTGTGTTTGATAGGCACATGAAATGGGTGGTAATATGTTTGCCTTTGATACGAGTTCCTTGAATTCAGAAGTGCGGCCAGAAGTTCTGCTGTTTGAACAATTCTGATTGCCAGGAGTTTAAGATATCGGCGCGTGAGAAATTATATTCTTAAATTTTAAAAAAGTCAATAAATAAATTTCGAGATTCAGAGGTATTGCATTAAAAATCAGAGACGGCATCGTGAGGGCAGAGCTGGCTGCCGAGCACTCGGTGAGGGCAAAGCAGGATCCAG